CTATCACTTTGTATTTCTTCCTCTTCCTAACTCATTTAACATTTTTAACAATTCTTAACACTTTCTTAACACTGGCGATAAACACATTTGAACCGGGCTGTCTTTTTACTCAGTATTAGTTCTCGATGTTTTTATCACTCTGCACCCCTTAGTTCTTTTTTATAATTTTGACTTAGTGTTACTCTACACTTTTCTGACCTATTGTCTTACGTGTAAGTTCTTTCCACACTTCTTTCATGCTTCTCTTGACCACGCGTTACTAAGTTCTTACTTGAAGGTATCACTTTTTCTTGTTTGTTGACTTTCTGGACCACGTCTTCAAACCTAGGGGTCGTTCACAGTAGTGGTAAGGGCTTTCCGCGATTCGAGATCCAGGTGGGTCTGTCGCGAGCTGCACATGACCAGATGTTGCCTGCTTCCTTCTTGAATTCGTCTGACCACTCATTCTTTGTCTACCTTGATTCCTCCATCCCGTTGTTGGGTACCACACTGTTGCGGCGTATGCCTATCTTTCTTGATTAAGTCGAGCTACGTGTCCTCCCCAGCGCCATTTTTGTAATTCTGCTTGTAGGACACATATTTTATTTTTGTTTTGTCCCTTATTATGTAGCTTTTTATTTTGTCTCTAAGTGTGATATCCAGAATCGTGCGTTCTATTTTCCGTTGGCATCTCCTGAGTGACAGTTTTGGAGTTTCAGTTAGCGTCCATGTTCGTGATACGTATATTAGAACGGGGAGTACACAGGTGTCCCTGGTCTTGTTTTTTAATGATAGACCTATCTTTTTATTAAATAAAATAAATTAGAGATTCGAAAATTTCTTCCATGCCACAGTTGTTCTGAGCTTTAATTCTCATTGCATTTTGTTTTCAAATGGTATGTATTGTCTCAGGTGTTTATATTAATCTACATATTCTACTTTCCTTCCTTCTAATTAATTGGTTGTGGTAGGTTGTTTGTCATAATATTAGTTTTGGAGGTATTCATTTGAATTCCTACCGATGTGCAATTTTTGTTAAGTTTCAGAACCATCTCTTTCAGTGTTTTAGGTGAGGTGCCGAAGAGTACGATATCGTCAGTAAAGCGGAGTTTTGTCATTATTTTGTCATCTAGGTTAATTCCTGCTCTTTTATTCCAGTGTAGTTTGTGAAATATATCTTCCAGAAAACGTGTAAATAGTTTGGGTAAAAACGGTTGTCCTTATCTGACTCCACGGTGCAGGTTAAAGGCTTCTACCTCTTGTTCTGTACGGACATTTGCTTTGCTTGGATTGTATATCTTTGCTTTAATTTTTAAATATTTTCCCTGGATACCATGAGAGTGCCAAGTGTCTAACACAGTAGCATGTTCTACAGAGTCGAATGCTTCTGTGCGGAGTCGTATTCTTGAACTTTCTCAATTATTTGGTTGATGGTTTGCAGATGGCCTGATGTGCTATATTCGTCTCTGAAACCCGTTTGTTCAGGGGGTTGTTCATCACGATTCTTCTAGTCAGACATTTGGAGAATAATTTATACATATTAGACATCAGACTTATCGGTCTGTACTTGTCTAGTCTGTCTCAGGTTTCTTTTTTGTGTTATGATATTGTATTATTCATTACTTCGGAATTTCTTCGGTTTCTAGAATGAATATATCATAAATGAATGTCATTAAATAATCTTGTTATTTCTGTAGCAACATATTCAGGGCATTCTTTCAGGAATTCAATTAACACCTCATGTTCGCCTAGGTTTTTCCAGGTTCCAATTCTGTTAATGAGTATCTTTCTTCACTTGTACTTAATTGAGGTATTCGTTCTAGTTCCTTATCGCGGTGACTTGTAAAGTCGATTTGTTGGTGTGTTGTTTTTGTTTCGTACAGTTGTTTATAGTATTTTTTATATTACCTATGTGTAAAAGAATGAAGTAAAGTCTTACTTGTATTTTCAAATAAAACATATTTCAAATTTCTCAAATTTTGGTCTCGTAAAAGAAAATAAATTAATACATTCGTATATGTGTATATAAAAAGTGTATTAGCAATGGAACATAATTTACAGTGGTAAATTTGTGTATACATTGGTGTGCCATGAATTTTTTGAGCAATCGGATTAACGTTCATATAAAAATATGCGTATATGATTGAAATGCACAGAAGCAGAATGTTCGCACGCACAAGTATGAAATAGATGTCATAGAGGAATTTTTTTCTGAATAGAAATTATTTGTCAGTGGATATTGGATTTTTTAATAACCGTGCCGATAAACATTTCAATAGAGCGTCGGAAGAGAATTGCAGGATAGTGATACACCCGGTGGAAGGGTGCTGACGAACTATTCTCGCTTCGCCACTCACGCGCCGTGTCAGCGCCGGACGAGCTTTTGTCAATATTCGTTGGCGTGTCACGTGCGCCGTGCCGCGCCGCGTCGCGAGCATTGATGAGCCTCGGATAGCGCTCCCGGTGTGCCTCACGAGCACGCGACATAACACGTGATGCTCCATTCGAATGCACATATTCCTTTTGTCCGCGCCGTCGCCGCGTGAATACCGATGGCCTATCAAAGAAACCGGTCATATCTACACGCTGGACGCGTTCCGTGCAATCAGTGTTTTATTATACGATATGATATAGCAGACGTCTCCGCACGGTTCCGCGTTGGCCGACAATAGTCGCAAACGAAACAGCCTAATGCACCTGGGCGGCAGTGTTCAAAAACAGCATGGGTAACGCGCCAGGCTATTAGCCCTCGCCTGGGAAATTAAGCTTCCCTTTGTGCCCTGGCGACCCTTCGGGAAGCTGTGAGCGCTGGGGGGGGCGGGGAGGAGGGAAGACAACGATGGAAAGGGTGGACGGGAAAATGGTGATGAAGGTTTGGCGCAGGGCAGGGCGGGTGGGGCGAGATACGGGTGGTGGGGAGTTCCTGGAGCAGCGAATGACGAGCGGCCGCCACAGCGATGGGATTTGTGCCCCAGTCGACCAAGGTTCAGCGACGATGTTGAGGGTCGGGGATGAGCGACGTCATGATGTAAGTTGAGGTAGCTTCAAAGTGGAACGACGGTGAGGAATAGATTGATTAATTATTCATTTTGGGCGCATCAACTGCTTAAGTCGTTAGCTCCTTAAGTGTAGTGCATTTGTTGGTGGGAGGTGGTTCCCCCGCTGGATGGCAAATCCGGCGCCGAGCTATGTCGGCTTGCGGAAATTTTCCCCAACCAGGAATGTCGCATCAGCGGAGCACTGCCCCAGCCGGGATAAGCTCTTGTCTCCCGACTGATCTCCCGACATGTGTGATAGTGGAGTGAGTGTAAAGGATGAGGAAAGGGAAAGAAAGATCGCGCGCGGTGCGTGGCCCCTTTGTTAGGGATCTGCTCCGGCATTCACCTGGTGTTGATCGAAGAAACCACGGAAAACTACCGATCAGAGCAGCTAGCCACTAAAAATCTCTTCCAAACAGCACTTAAATTCGACTTACGCAGCGAGTGTCACAAATCCCGCCTCCGTCGCGTCAGGAGGCGGAGAGGGACGTGGCGGTGATAGAGGAAGGGAAAAGAACGAGGCGGCGGGGGACGTGCGGACTGTTGGAGTCAGAGAGAAAGAGAGAACACCAAGGAGAAAGGCATATATGCTGATAAGGAGGAAATGTGTCTTAGAGTAAGAGAAATAGGGCGATGGACAAAAGAGGTGAGCGAAACTGGAAGAAGAGAAAGGGTAAAAAGACGGAGAGTGAAAATGAACGAGAGGGAAACAGAGAGCTGACGATCGCGGGGCGAGAAGGGTGGCAACAGTGGGGGTGAGGGGAGGGGCAGGACTGAGTTTATGAAACACGTGAATATAGTGTGGAGGGGCGGTGATCGCGAAATGGTGGAGCGATCGTACATATTTTCCTTTTGATGTGGCTTCATTCAGGGTCTATCGTATACTTAGAGGCAGCTAATTATAAATTAAGATTATCTTAAAAACGGAGGCCTTTGAAGTGTAGATGTTTTGTACAATCTAGGTCGAATACATACATTGTGCCTCGTTACTCTGACGTGATGGAAATGTTGAATTTAGTCGTTTAAATTCCTAGATGCCAAAACATCCCCAGCTTAATAATAAGGCCCAGGTAATTATTAACAGCAAGTTCATCAAATATGTTTAACCGATGGTATTTTGAGACTGAAATAGACACAGCATAGAGAGGAATATGCTGAAGTGTTGTAAAATTGCATTTAAAAACTAGACAAATTACGTACACGAAAACTGAATTTCAGAATTCAGATTTTGGATTTTTTCTAGATTCTCTTGAGGTTTCAATTTAAAACATGTACAATCATTGTACAAAGAAAACGAATAGATGTCTGAAACATTGATCATCGAGATATTATTGAGGAAGAAAGGGCGAAAGAATATGAATTGATGACTCCTCTTGAAGCAACACTTTTGACACCTGCGTATCGAATGAACCCAGACCCTGAGATGACATATTTTGCTATCAAACTTTGTAAATTTTTTCTGCTTCAAAGTACAGGGTGCCAATGGAAAATATCCCATGCAGCCTACTGTGCTCCAATAAATCCTCGTACCTACTTATTCATTTCTGATATTGACACTAATTTACCAATATCTTGTTCTTGTTCTTGAACTCAGTACGTTCGACGTACAAATTTTTGAATGTACAAATGCAACAGTTGAAAGATGCCTTCCGTAATTATTACAGATATTACTGTATATTCGGTTCCTCGTTTTTGTGGGTCGTAATCATTCTTCAATATTTTCCGTTTCCTTTTTAAAACGAAAACTGACAGACTCCTTTCCGGCAGAATTTAAGAACGCACAGAGTTCTTTCCCTTTTTTGCGAATATCTCAAAAACAGCTAGGTAATCGGCCAAATTAGATAGAAATGATTTGAAAACTACAAAATTTCGTTCTAATTACATTACAATTCAATCCAGTAGCGTAATAATATTTCGAGTAATTAAAGGTCAATTTTGAAGTAGCATCGTAGAATAGAGAGGCGAAATCATACCGTGGAGGAGATGGCGGGAAGGCAGAGCGGAGCACTACGTAGTGAATCCGGGTGAGTCGGATCTTGTATGGTGGTATCAAAAAGAAATGACTTCCGCATTGCTAGACAAATTGATTTTTTTTTCTTTCTACTGATATAAGATTTTCATCAATGTCCAAGGACGACGAGTTACATCCGCTTGTGTTTCGTACATTCATAGATAATAGCTATGCTGATGATCAGAATCAGCGTCGGATGCCTTTTGAGTGCAGTGGCGCCAGCGTCTGAAGAAGCGAATTCAAAGCCGCGAAGGCAGGACATACATCTTCATGTAAGCGAAGGTAAGGGTAAGGGCTACCGCGTGCGCATAGACAAGGCCAAAACGAAGGCGAAGAAGAGGTCACCCTTTCTCACAAAAGTGGATGAGTGCAAAGACGAAGGTGAGGGAGATGATGAGGGCGAAAGCGAGGAAGAGTGCGAGTGCAAGGGTGAGAACGAGGGCGAGGACGAAGTGGTCGGCGAGTATTCCAGTACGAGTATCCCAGCACGAGTATTGGAGCGAGGAGGCGCGGCTGAGGGCCAGAGGCAGGATGTGGGAGTAGTCGAGTGGCAAGGGTGAAGCCAGGACCGAAAGCAGGGCGAGTTACAGTGTGAAGGTGAGAGCGTAGTGTGGCGTCGGCGTGGGAGTGTGTGAAGGCAGGTTGAGGGCAGCTGCGAGCTAATCCGACGAGGGCTCGCCTCGGGCGCCCTATGACCCCCAGGAGATTTGCCGGCGCCCGGGATGCTGCGTTGGGCAGATGGGGCTCTCAAAGTTCTCACACTGCATCCACGAGGCCACAGCCCTCATGCGCCGCTGCCCACGGCAGTCCGCTCTGCTGCTCCTCACACACACACACACACACACATTCACACACACACTCACAAACCAAACAGACGGTGGTAATATGTAGTATTGTTCAGAGGAATTTATATCTAGTTACATTAGAATGTATATCAATATCATCCCTTCCATAAATAATACGCTGAGGAAATAGGAAGGTTAAATTCCGTGGTGGTAGCAGATATCTTGTGGTAATCCATGGTATTGTAAAGGAAATAATCTCCACAAAGTTTTAATAATTTTATTAACAATTTTCCAGAGTTAACTTTTCGGGAAACACGTTTCCCATCCTCAGTGGATTCCAATTAATTATTAATAATTATTAATAAATTAAAAAATTATTAATAAAATTATTAAAACTTTGTGGAGATTATTTCCTTTACAATACCATAGGAAGGTTATATACCATTTATAAGAAACTTTAGACACAAAATCCCATTAGGGCGATACTGCTGCATATGTATTACCCTTTTGTTCTGAATCAAACAAATGGAAGTAAAAAATAAATAGAAGAAAAAATTACTCAAGAAATACTAATATTAGTAACAGTATGTAGATGGAATGATTCAAAGTTTTAGAATTTATTTTATTAAGACTAACATTATATTTAGTAATATAGGAATGAGTAGAAAAAAGTTTCAACTTTTGCAATTTTCGAAACGTCAAAAGTTTTAACGAAAATCGAACATAATCCATTATTAATAAGACAAGTTAGTTCTATTCCAACTAATAATGTAAAGGGGGAAAATCGAAAATGTTTATCAGAAAGAATTGAGAATGTCCTAGGAACTTAATGGGAAGTATCTCCAAAAATTAAAATATTCGTTTCAAATTCTCAGGGTCAGGAGTTGGACCAGATCGGGGAACATCCATTTTTAAGAAAATCTTACGGATGATTGAGACGTTAGTATTTCCCGTAGGCGGATGGATAGAGAATACATATAAAAACACACTATTAGTATCAAAATCCCAAATCGCGTACTACTTACTCGAGCTTCAGTTGTATCGTGTATTTGAGGGACTCCTTGTGTCCCACCAAACATCACAACCATTTCGTCTCACCGGCGCCGGCCACGCCTCCGCAAACGCACGTCGCTCCCAGCGTTCGCTACGCGCCCCCTCCTCCACCCCGGCTCCCAGCGCTGCTAATTAGCCCCTCTCCCTGTCGCCGCCGCCGCCACGCGCTCTCTGGTCACAGAGAGGCCGCCACGCGAGACGCACTACGGAGGAACGGCCATGCGGAGCTACTGATTCGATTCGGAACCATTGGATTCAATCGAACACGAACGCAAGGGACTCTTGCCGCCCCTGTGGCACAGGTGTTTGGAGGACGTGTGCCTAACTACACTGACCCCAGGCATGTAGGTTTGAATTCGAAGTAAGGTATTAATATTTTCAGCTGTTTTTGTCTTTTGGGTCCATTCCCAGTACCTCATTAATAACCTCTAAATAGTCATTGCTTCAAATTTTCTTGTTCTTAGCCTAACAAATGTACTAAAGAGGTATTGTTCACGCTTAAAACCGTGCTCTCTAATCCTATTAAAAGAAACCAACTCTGGGTTATAAACAAATACCCTTCATGGGGTAGGCAGCAATGTGTAAGTATACGTCCTTGAGGTACCTCGGAGAGTGGTTCGGGGAGTTATGTAGCACTTTACTCAATTGACTCGCGCTAGGCAGGGCGCTGGTACAAGTATACTACAGAGGCCCCGAAGAGTCCCCAAGGCACCCTCAGATTGCAGAAGAGACGGCGTCGGACACACGGAAAGAGTCTAGCCTAAAGGAAAGGGAAACTTATCTTCTGTAGGCTCGTAACATTCGAAGCGTGTTGTAAAGAGCATAGTGTAGAAATGGTTTCTATAACATAGAAGATTTTGCGATTGCATGATTCTTATTATCCCTGAATGGAAGGAAATCGTGGTATATCAAAGTAAATAAACATGGATTTAAATGCTAGAAATTAATGAATTGCATTAAATTTTAAATTCGATTATGATTTTTTAAAATTATGATGAGATAATGAGCAGTGCAAAAAAAGGCCACGCCCCCGGAATCCTGCCATTTGTGATTGCACATGTTCAAACGTAGATAACGCAACTAGAGATAACAATCAAATGTCAAAATGTAAAAATTTTGCTGAGTAATAAAGAGACTTGAACTTATGAAAATTCAGTATAACACATCCTCCTGATATCATAATTTTCTCTCAGTTGGATAAAACAAAAATAGATTTTAGTTACTGAAATGCTACATCCAGAGTACCATTTCTGTGTCATTTATTTAAATGTTTTCTAAGAATCATTCATTATTCTCATGAACTACTTTTACCAATATTTGGAAGAGACGAATTGAAATATGACAGCAAACAACAAAACTAGTTTTTAATTCGTTTGCTGTACGTGAAGGTTTTTGCGCGAACTGCTCATGCCAATTTTCGGTCTTATATATACATTAATATGTAAAGGGAAATTTTTGTACCCCTTTTTAAGCATATTGCGGAGAGTGAGATATTTGGCATAGCTTAAGTCTATCCGTAAGAGGAGTGCAGAAAGCAAAACTTTTTATGGAGTTTATGTTATTAATATATATTAAATTAAATAAAATAGCTTCTGATGCAACCCGCAACACTCTACAATACATTCCTATCGTACATAACTCATAAATATTTTTACACGTCTTACTCCAAGCTTTGCGTTCAAGAGAAATATTCTGTATTTCATTCCATATTTCTATTTGTGTACGCGAAAAGCGTGTTAATAGTAATATTTGTAATAACATTGCCCACACGTGAAAGATACTACTTTTTATAAAAGTTTGTAGTGATTTATTTTTTCATTTGACATTACACATAAACAAATGGTGACAGTGTATTTGCCTTCTGAAGGATATTTCTATGTTGGTGGTTGGGGTCACTAGGCCAGTTTCCGTTGAATTTGTTAGCCATGCGAGAAGGGGCGAGAATACCAGTGAATTCTCTTGTTTTCATAGGTATGTTTTCACAGGGTTTCAAATTGCATAGGTATTTCAGAAAATTAAGGCCAACAACATACACTAATGGCTTATTTCTACATTGAACAAAGTCCAAAAATTATATTCAATAATTATGCAAGTATACTCTTTGACAAAAAACATCAGTAACATTAAAAATGAGAAGTTTAATAAATTACGATGGAATATCGACCACTGGCCTTCTTCGATTTGAGATGCATCTTACATATTTCGGCGTCTTAGATTCAAAAATGTAGCAAAGTAGTGATATGGTCTATTAATTAAGTTCTGAAAAGTGTCGATATAAAATAAATGTTATTGTGTGAAGAGCCTTGTCGTCCACTGACAGTCGCCCTCTTCTGTTGCAGAGATTCGACGCCCTGAGTCGAGCGGAAGCGGCCGGGTTCCTGGCGCGTGCGGTACTCAACGTAAGTACACAAACGCACTATAACACTCATGAACTTCAACATTAATTTTCTCTTATACATGCGTACATACTGTGAGGGTATTTCACCACATTATTCATGAGTTTTTATTTTAATAACCTGAAAGGTACAGAGATCTTGGTAGAGAGAAGTGTTGGATGGAAATCGCATGTGAATTAAATGTCAACACAGATTTTGATAAACTGAGGATTTATTCAATCGAAATAGAAAGCAACGCAAAACATACAATCCCTTAATAAATATCGATTCTTTCATCTATGGAAGATCATTCTGTGATAATCTTTCGTAATTACTCTTAACAATGAGATCTCATATGCAATAGTTTTTATTGACTTGATTTTATATAAAATTCACAAAACATATCCCCTTTTACATATGATTCAACTTGTTCATTTCCCTTTCCAGAAGTTCTTATTTTTACCTTATCCTTACCTTACTCTTTACGAAATGTTTCATCTAAAATACAAAAATTATACACTAAAACAATGACTGTTAATTTCTCTTTCTCTTGGTTTTTTGCTTTACTTCTAAAAAAGATCTGTTGATTTACTAAACATGTCACAAATTTGTTTCCCTTTCTATTCTGTGTTTAATACCCAGACAAACAAGAATTCAGCTTTGAGTTATTCACTCGATACCCAGAAACAAAATCTCACAATACTTATCGCTTCTTAGCCTTCTGACGCTGCCCCTCTGTCGTCAGCGAAGATCAAACAGCGGGCAAGCCGCCGCCTTCTCCAAAATGCGTTGCGCCACAACGCAAGGTCAGTGGCCGACCCCGGGTTTACACGAATTCCTCTTGCGCCGTCCCTCAGCACGACGCCCGTAGTATTGATACTTTCCCCGCAAAGACATCAGTTGATGCTGTAAACTACCTTCACCGGTGCTCGTAATTCAGTCTCCAGCAAAGTATGTGAGCTTGAATAAGACCAGGTGTGTTACGCGGCGTGCCGATCTGGGGCAGCATCTTCAGCGCCATGGAAGTGAGGCATGGCTCGCTTCCCCCTTCAGGATTGACCCTCATGGACTTCGAGGTCATTCTCTGCGTATAGAAATAGATCTTATTGGTGTAGGATATTAGATAATGTTTCAAAATTAAAATTTTTCTTGTGCAAATTGCCGTCGAAATTATTACTGGACGGCGTTGCTATTTTGTCAAGGTCTGAACGGCCGTTGACGACGCTGTACAGTGTACAGCTCTCATATCGTCGTGAAAAAATATCAAGTGTAGTTCAAGGTGTGCATATTTAGTACACAAATACAATATTTGTTTCTAAAAACTTCTCTGAAAATCTAGGCGGTTCCCATTGTCATTGTTCAATTGCTCTCCAAATTGTATACCTCCTTACATTTTAATTATAATAACAAATTCCAACTTTGTCAAAATAACTGGCAGTGCAGGCGCCATCTACCAGCCTCAAGGCAGACTTGGAAAAGCTCTGCATCACGTCACCTCCGGGCGAGCGAATTGCCTTCCGGCAGGATTCCTCTGGCTGCGCGGAGCAGAGGACTTTCGGCGGCGCGCGGGCCGTGAGATTGACAGGCGCCAGCCGCGCAGCACACGCACTGCACCGCTGCTCCTCCTGCGCGCAGGTCGCCCTCCGGCGCCTTCCGCCCCCTCGCATTCACCCCTCGATGCCGCATCTTTCCATTGTCCCCACCAACATCGTCCTATCCGCACACACCGAAAAGCTCTCCGGCCCGTCCTGCCCGCCCACCACAGCTTTTGTCCCCTGCCGTCCCCACATCCCACACGCCCCTCTCGTCCCACCCGTCCGCGCCCGCCACGTCCCACACGTCCTCTCGTCCCCACCGTCCGCGCCCGTCCACGCCCGTCCCGCTAGCCCCGCCAGTCCCCGCCAGACCCTGCCCGTCCCCCACTTCCCGCCTCACCCTCCTCACCCACACCACATTTCACTGCCTCATTCCTCTCGTACCCACCCTTTCTCTGAATTTCCCACTTCCATTTCTGTTATAACAGTATCAAACGCCGCTCTAATCCCACTTCATACGCGCCATCACCACCAATGTCCTTTTCTCCTAACCCAACCGTTATCCCACTCCGAGTCGATTCACCACCAATCCTCTAACTCATCCCCGCGCTTAATTCCTAACTCCTATCCTTCCCCTACCCCGATATTATTGCTGATTCCATCACGCTTCATTCTCACACATCTTTCACACTGTGAACGCTTCACTCCTCACCCTCTCGTATTTTGACGCACGAGCCGTAAGACTGACACGAACGAGCAGCGCGAAACCAGACTGCGCCGCTGCTCTCCTCGCCCGCGGGCTAGCCCTGCGCGCGGTGGTGGCCCAGCCCCGGGTCCTCGCCCCCGCCTCTGCCCCGCGGCGCCGCGCCTCGCCGGCTTCGCGTGTCAAAGCGGCTGCCCCCGCCCCAACCGCCCGCGCGGCTCCAAACGGCGGCCTTGATGCGCGCACCGCGACGCGACGTGACGCGACGCAACGCGACGGACGTGGGAGCCGGCGCCCGCTGCACTCACCTACGCACCAGCCGACACTGGGCCAACGACCCTGACAGGCCCCTATTGCGAGCTGTTCTGTAAGATTAGAATTCAAAGGGAGTAGAAGCTCAGTAACTCGAATTAATTAAAAGTCGTCTCGACGTCATTGATCATTCAAAATAGATCAGTATATATTATATATTATTATTATTATTATTATATTATATTATTATTATTATTATTTTGTTTATTCTCAAAGTTTTTGGTTTCACATGGATACCACACAGATACAATATCAGAGCATGGTAACACAGACATATTTAAAATCACAAAACAAATTAAGGAATTCTTAACACCATAAACTAAATAAACTTGTTTTCAGATTGTAACATAGAATAATAGTTTTCAAATGCTAATAACAAATACAATTTCAAGAATGAGCTTTCAAAGCCAGCATGTCCTCCCATGAATTTCCTGACTAGTGAGCAGGTGCTGATTATACAGACTTCTGGAGCCGATGATAATGCTCTTCTCCAGGAGAGTTCTTCCAGCGATCTGCAGAGAGTTTTTGGTATCACGCCAGTTGCTGAAGTACAATTGGGATGGTTTTCACTTCTGACACTCGCCTTTGTTCTTTTACCGGCAAATACTAGTTCTCTGTATTTGTCGATTTTAGTCTGGTATTTGTCATCATGTGCTGTATTAAGACTGCACAATCAATGGTAGTTGTCATCATTTGCTGGTATTACGACTGCAACATCAATAAACCAAACTTTCTTTTGCAGATTTGTCCCAAAGAGTAAATCAGGTCTGTTGTGCTGAATTGTCCTGTCTTTCAGAATAACTGCGGTCCAGTTATTATATATTATTATTATTATTATTATTATTATTATTATTATTATTATACTGCTCCTCTACTGATCACGCAACACATTTCTCTCAGCCCACTTGTATTCTGTCCTGGAGAGATCAACATTTGGAATTATGCCAATCAGCCTCTGAGACATAAAATGATGTTATTGTTGTTGTTATTATTATTATTATCATTATTATTATTACTATTATTATCGATTTATGGCGCGTCAACTACCAGGGACATTAGTCCCTTAAGTCTAGTGCATGTTGTGTTCGGGAGATGGCGATGGCCTTCCCTCCGCTGTCCGGCGCCGACCTACCGACGGCTACCGGGAGTTCCAGGTATCTCCCACCAGCAGAGCACCGCCCCTGCCGGGACACGTTCTGTGCTCCCGACCGTCCTTCCGGCATGTGTATTTGTGTAGTGCGTGATAGTGTAAGTGTGTGTAAGGGGAGAGGTTAGGTCAAGGAGTAGGTAGGAAACATCGCGCGCGGTCCATGGCCCGTTTGTTAGTTTACTGCTCCGGTATTCGCCTGGTGTTGATCGGAGAAACCCCGGAACAGAGCACCCGGCCCGCTAGAATTCTCCTCCAGGCAGAGACTGAATTTGACCTAGCTAACAAGTTAGTTGTGAAAATCCTGTCACAGTCGGGACCCGAAGGCCCTCCCGGTCAGAGGGACTGCAGTGACAGCAGTTGATGCCATCTCTACCGATATCATTATAATCATTACTGTTGTTGTTATAATAATAATAATAATAATAATAATAATAATAAGGGAATGATGAACGAAAGGATTAGGATGATTCTAGGAGGTATTAGGTGAGGTACTGGTGAGGTTAGGTAGGTGTTCATGGGATTTTGGAACCATTCCTGCTTTCGCGTTCTGACCGAGGGAAATAATGAAAACCCCGGTGAGGATAGCCGGCCAGGGGCTCGAACCCGGACCTCCCGATCGCGAATCCAGCGCGCTACTCACTGATCTACTTTACTTTTCGGTACGTTATTATTAATAGTAATTATACTATGAATAATAATAATCCTAATAAAAATTACATAATTCAGAAAGTAATGCTGTTTTGCAACAACACATGAGACAGGATACCTCAAAGACTTGATATCACGAGTTCCTTAATATGTTATATTCCTACGTATCTGGATACCATTGAAGGCTCGAAAACATTGACATTTCACGTTTTTCATTCCTCTTTCATGCTCATTCAACACATGATCCTGCTAACTAACATGAAATAGTTCTTTTTCCCATTACGTTCCTGATTTCAGAGTACTGTGTAAAATGATTCCAACATTAAATGTAGATAGTATGAAAATAATAATAGAAGTTGATGATCTATATCAATGACGCACCTAAAAGATCTTCTTTACACGATGTTCCACAAACAAATATTCAGAGCAACTGTCAGAGGCTGTTGTTGACGAATGTATCACGAAACCTCTTTACAATATTCCGACTCGTTCTCGACACAAAATGTAAATCAATTTCATAAAATTGCGTTAACTAATTTTATTGATATTCTATAAGAGATCTTTGTCCACTTAAAATAGTTATAGTGAGAGGAGTGTTTTACTGCAAAAACACCAAACTACACGATTGTTCCTGAAAAAATAATTTTTATTTAAGTCGTCTTTACTTGTCTTATTTTCTTGCATTATTTGCCTCTCAAGTTTAAGTAATTTTGGTACCAGCTCATTATATGACACTAAAAATTTTATTTTACATCTCCAACTGTGCTATTAAGAAGTTCTTGTAAAAGCATCTTTGAGATGCTAAATTATGCAAAATTCTTAAACAGATATTCCTGAGCGCTACATCACGACCATAAAATGATCAATTAAGTAATATGTAATTAGTAACCTATTGACTAAACTTCTAATATTACATTTCCTCCCTTGCAACACAGACACTGTTAATTATTACTTCATTAACTCTGAACTGGCGTTCAAGGTGTCATTTCTGCGCCCGACGCCTTCAAAGTTCTTTAATCTTCTTACATTAGCAGCTTCGAAGTTGCAAGGCTTCCTTCCTTTAGAGCAGTACGGCGGCTTTTGAATCCACTTAATTGTCATTTAATGCGAATAAATTCGATGCAGTACAAGGTATTGGTCTGACAGAATCTTAAACAGCATGTCATGACATAATATGCTTTGAAAAGTGCTAAATATAAGTCCATGTTCCATTGAAATAAGGATCAATGATGTACAAGCGATATTAGATTTCAAAGTAAACTTGTAACATGAAGTATTTTTCCAGAAATTGTTATCAATCTAATCTATCTGACATGAAAATATCATACCTTCAATAAATCAACTAGTAGTGCTTGGGCAGCACATACTTTGTTGTATCAATTGTCAATATTACCAAATATTAACAGTACATCGATTCACACCGTATTAAAAGTGGAAATACGCGATGTAAGCGAGCGAGGAAGATCCGCCCTTTGCCGCTAGCGCCCCCAGCCCACTCCTGCCCAAAATGTTCCTTTTGTTATCGGCTTTTAGGAAAGGTCTTCTATTCAACATCTTTAGTCGGTGTCTATCAACGGCTCGGCACAGTCGTTACCGGATGCAGGAGTCTGAGTTTCCCGGAAAGAAATTGAACGCAAATTACATTTACAGAATTCCTGCCTTTTCATGAATAATATTCAACGGGCTTGCGCCGATATTCAGTTGGGTGAAGTTAGGTCTCACTCCCATTCCTTTCGTTCGAATAGAACGCATAGAAGGTGGAGTGCCACCGGTGGATGGGTGGGAGGCAGACGTTCGGTCGTGTGTTTTATTTGAGGTGTAGAATCAGTCCGATAAGCATCCGTTGAGCAAGCTTCAAGCTACCTCTGGCTCTTGAGGGAGGGCGCGGCCATCTGCCGCAATTGCGGAGTGCAAGACATGCATTTTATTAACAGTTAGCATCGTCATATTACGGAGTGATAGTATGAGAATATTAATATTCAGCCCTCCGCACCGTATCTTGGTTAGGGTCGCGTGGTGACGGGTGTTTGCGCGAACGCCAATCACCAGCTAATGGAGTAGCCGATTCTTCCGTAATCTGTCGGCGGTCCGCTGCCGAATTTACTGGCGCTTTATCGCTGCCGCCGCCTTCTTATCGCCCGGCAGATGTGTTACCTGCTTACATGCCCGACCCGGCAAGGTCGTCTGACACGGTGGACTGAACATTGAGCCAAGAAATTTGTTT